ATCTCAAGGAGATAGAAAACTATTGCTACGTATACTTGTAGGGTAAGAGGGAATTTAAATGAAACTCAGTGTTTTTCTTGCAATAAGAGAGCAACTATTATACGATGTTATAAAATGGAAAACCTGAAAAACAGTTTCTGAAGGCAAGGTCAGAAAGTTTGTCCAGGACTTAGAATGCTCATGTGCCTGCTTTTCTTTATTGCTGCAGACATTGTAAAGGCTTCATGGAATTAAACTGAACTTCTTCAGATATTTTTGCCTTATAGTCAACGTTTTCACCTTTTAAAAAAACCCTCTTTGTCAATTTGAGTCTAGAATAAATAGTTGAACATTCCAAAACCAAATTAGAAATTAATTTTTCTCCATTAAAACAGAGCTACATAATTTAATGTTTTTTCCTGTGTTCTGGTAGTGCATTTTCTTAAAGGCAGACCATGAGTTCATCCACTTAGTGAGCTTCTCAATGGGAGCGGGAGGGCCGACCAGCAGCAGAGGAAGAAGCCTTGTAGAGGGATGGACGCATCTCCCAGGGGGCAGCGGCCTTCACCTCCAAGAGGAGGAGGGGCGGTTTTTGACATGCCACTGCTCACATGCAGTACTTGTTTTTGGCCAGAAGGTGTTACTATAACCTTTCCTCCCCCAACAAAGAGAAAATAGGAAGCCTATTTGTACACTGACCAAAGTGATGTTCAGTTTCTCCAGTGATGGTCTGGAAGTAGTATTTCTGAGGCCCAACGAGAGATTGTCTGATCTTTTCCTGTCCTCTGACTTTCAAATTCTTGCTACACATGTGACCCTTAATCACAGTCTTTCCAAACAATTGAACCCTTAGTTTAACCACAGATGGCATCACTTTTACATCACTCATACAAGGACCCAGGATATCAAAGACCTTTTCTTTGACAGTCTTTAGAGTAAAAGTGCAGAATGAGGTTAAAATGGTCTTCAAAAATAACAGATATGCTGCACAGGAGGGAAATGGCTCGTATTTATTGGGTACTTCCAGGCCGGGCACCACTCTTAAGTATTTTTCATGTATTAACTCTTACTCCTCACAGCAGTCCTGTGAGGAAGGTACTGTTACTCTCCTTTTCAGGCAAGGATTGGAGGAGTGGAGGTGTCAGGGCATCTGTCCAAGACCAGCAGCGCCTCCAGGGTGTTTTCCTGGATCCCTGATGCGCTGCCCGACCAGAAGGGACCACTGGGTCCTCCTTGAAGGTCACTCCTTGGTTTTTAAGAAAGTCCAGATTATTATGTGCTCGTGTTAGGGGGCATCATTTGTTCTT